TCTGTGCCGATTGCTGAAAGTAGGCATCCCCAGCTGTCTATTGGTTACAGTGGATGCCTCTGCTGTGAAATGCCCATGGCTTTCTTTAAAAGTCATGCTGCCAAGGACTAGTTTTTAGTAAATCTTCTTTCAGATGTGAAGTGTGAAGCTATAATGAAAACATGTTCTCTGTAATTAAAAGATAGTAAGTGTACAATTGATCTCTGAAATTGGGATTTAAATACTCAGGAGATTTGCCTATTTTTGCTTACTGTCTACTTGACTAGTGAGTATGTGTGTCATTATTTATAGCTGGTCTAAAATCCTTTCACTTGAATGATAAAGTATGTTTTTAGAACATGTAGGTTTTGCTTATTATATATTTTTGTGAGAAATACAGAAATATGTACCTTTTTTCCATAAAGTTATTCTAATATATCTCTTTATTCATTATGTTATCATTTGATTATGGATGGAACAAAAACAAGAGTTTGTAGGTAATTCAATTGATGATATGACTGATATTCCAAGGGGATAAATAATTACCTGTCCAGCACAATTTCTGAGGTTACCCTTTTGTGTTGGATATGGAAAGTAGGAATGCCTTTTGGTAGGTTAAAAAAAATCAATTACTATAGGCTTGATATAAGGAAGGTTTGTCCAGATTAAACCTCTCTCTTTGTTCTATACACAAGTTCTACAACCACGTACTTAGGTGTGAAATTCAATACTAATTATTGTTAGCAAAGAAAATGCTGGTGGAGACTGTCTTTGGAAGATTGTAGCTCTTCAAATGAACATGATGTAATCCTCTGTGTCTAGTGTAATTTAAAGGTTTTGATCTGTGGAACACAAAAAGACATGAGAGAAATTTAATCAGAGTGAAAGAAAATATATAGAAAACCCAACACAGATACAAACGTAGGTGACTCTGAAGAGCAAAACTAAAATGAAAAAATGTAGTCAGGTGTTGCTTAATGACAGAAAGTGTTCTGAGAAGGGCACCATTTGGTGGTTTCATCATT